TCTATTCAATTTTCAGACTTTGGGATCTTTAGACCAATTCACTAATGAATATATTTACTAAATTAGAAATTATGTAATTATTTATTTTATCAATGTTATATATATATATATATATATATATATATATATATATATATATATATATATATATATATATATATACATATATATATATATATATATATATATATATATATATATATACATATATATATATATATATATATATATATATATATATATATATATATATATATATATATATATATATATATATATATATATATATATATATGTATATATATATATCTTAGCTCGGATAAGCGGGTTGACTGACTGACATTCACTTATGTATCAACCCCTAGATAACTAATTAACTTTTATAAGTATTTTTTTTGTATGTGTATATATAAAATATATACTACTACACAGGGCGGCGCGAGTAGATGTGACGTGGGGGGGGAGGGGTGCCATTTCAACTTTTACCGACTAAAAAAAAAATAAAGGTCCTCATTTTCCAAAATTTGCCGACTGCCATGACGACATTTGCCGACTGTGTAGATTACCGACTAACCTATATCGAAAGGGTCGACATTTGCCGACTACTAGTCTGAAAGGATCCAATTTGCCGACTAAGGGTCCAATTTTCCGACTAAAAATGATTGATGGGGGAGGGGGTGTCACACCCCTCCGCACCCCCCGATCGCGCCGGCCTTGCTACTACACTATAAAACTTATTACATTATATTATGTAATATTTTAAAATTGATATACGAATATTTTATGAACATACAATATTTTATGAACACGTGGTATTGGTGTAGTGGTAAAGTGCTCGCGAAGTTCCGAGTTCGAATCCCACCACGTCCCTGGTAATACCACGCTCAACTTGTTTCTCCACAACGGCCTTGTTTGTCGAGGTTTGTGTTTCGGAGTTATAGAGTTGAGAGAGGGTTGTAACTACAAAAGTAGCCTCCTTGACTGTTGTGGCCCTCTCGGCCTTGGGGAGGTGAATAATTAAAAAGAAAAAAATAGTTTTAATAGAACTTTTATTTTTTAACTCTCCTTATAAAATCTTCCAAATATATAATTTGTTACTAAATTACTCTGTAATTAAAAAAAACAAATTTTCCAAATAGTCCGAATAATTACTTAGCTTGAGCTGTTTGATCTTAAATCTCAGATAGTTCGAAAATATAGAACTAACTGTTTTACCAAATGGAAGCAATTGCTATGTCTTAAAGTACATTATAATTGCAATATTTCACGGTGTCTTAAGTATGGGTTCCTCCTTTCTCTCCTATGCCTAATAATGTCAATAGACTAACTGACCAGCAGTTAACAATAATTTTAAAATATTTTACTTAATAGCACAAACCAGTATGCCTAAAAGACCATGATTATGTTTTTATTAATGAAGGAAATGTTTTGCTGATATCCGTAACTAGTTAGGGGAGACTGGGGAGACTTCAAATACATGGAGTGAATAAACATTCAAAAATCTTGTACCCTGTTAATATTGGAAAAATATTGCCTATGGTCGATATACTGGTAGACAGACTGCTTCAAAACAGTAAGGTGACAGTTCCCACAAAACAGATTTATGAATAAACAAATAAACGTAAAATAAAAAACTTTTATTCACATAAAGGGAATAAACGTATTCGATTCCAAGTAAATCATTCAGATTCTAGTTTTGAACTCTACTAGAGTTCGTGTAATTTTTTTTAGAACAAACGTTTAACTGCGGGCATTAGTGGATGTAATCTTTGGGCATTATCCAAAGTCTCTTCCGATGCTATTGTAATGCTTGCTACACAATAATTCTCTATCAATAATTATTAAAGTCGTGTAATCTTCTATTTGCACAATCATAAACTATAAGATAAGATATCTTCTTATACCTATCGTTTGCCGTTATTATTCTTTAATGGAGAATTATATTTGTAATAAAGAATGTATAATTTGTAATAAAGAATATATTAATGATATATATAATAATATATTTATTTTTATTGCTGCTGATTATTTATATCTCAAACAGATTATCTTTGTTAAATGAATCAATTTACCTACCCCAACTGGCATTTGGTCCTAAAAAAACGTCTTTTGAACGTGAAAAAAAGACGTCTTTTTAGGACCAAATGCCAGTTGGGACAAATTTCAACCAATTGTAGTACATATAACTTTGATGACAATGGATTTAATGACACCAGTATTGATGTTTTGATGTGAGGTAAGATTAATAATGGTTAAGGTCTATGGATGTGAAAAACGATACAGAAAGAGTTGTTAAAAAATTGTTATGTAACGGATTTTTACAAAAAATAAAATTCCTTTTAATAGATGTTTAATAGATAAAAATAAATGAAGTCTACGTTCATTGCCCATACATCTGTATGGGCTTGCATTTCAAGTTTCTAGTGAGGATTAGAGGTCTTTTTTAAAGGTAATGTTCCTTAAAATGCAATTTGAATGAGTACCAGTTGCAATAATTCTCCCTGGTCTCCCCTCTAATTTTTTTTTTTTAATTTAAATTGTCGTTCCAATTTTTATATATACTGTAATATAACGGTAATTAAATCGTTTCCGCAAGTTAATTGAAAAAAATAGTTTTAAACTTTTATATAACGTTCCCGAAACAAAATACTGTTCTTAAAATAGCGGAATAAAAGGATTAATTGAAGTCATTAAAAGCCTCGTTAAAATCGCGTTAAAATTATTTAATTAAGGATTTGTTTGTTTATAAAGATTATCTGAAGAGAAAAAAAAACATCTGCAAAAATGGCTTATAAAATGAGGGATTACAATAACAAAGTTCTTCATAAGTCATCGAAACAAAAAGGTGATAACAGTTTACTCGGTAAGAGCAGATTAACAAAGGTTCAGCAAAAGTTCATTTTAGTCGATACAAACTTTATTACGCAAAATGAAGACAGAAATAAATTAACGAACCAATTCAAACAACGACCGAATCAAATCACAACTGTTATTAACACAGAAACTTTGAAAATAAAGGACTCTATGCCAACAATGGCGCCTATTTTCACAGAACTAAAATTACTACATCAGAAATCTCGTAACAAAAAAGAATTTTTTGCCCATAAAGATAACAGAAGTATAAGTACAGATAGTGGAATCGACTTAACAGATTATGATGAAGATACCTATTACAGTGTTGATCATTTAGATAAATGTCTGACGGAAATAAAAGATTACGACGTACAATATCAAAAGAGTATAGATGAACCGTGTAAATCAAATACTTTCGACCGAGAAAACAAACGTGAATCGAAAAAAAAATGTAGCACGAACAATACTTTTGATGAATTTCAACTAATTGACGACGAAATAGAACGAATAAAGCAATTACTTTATGCATTCGATCATTATTCCTCTGAAGTAGATGAAATTATTTTAAAGAACAAATCTTTTATTAGCGAACTAAACATGGAATTGTATGAAAAACGAGAGATTGAAAAAAATTTGATTTTTGAGCTATCGAACCAACGAAATAGCTGCGCTCCAAGAGTAATTAAAAGAAGGCCACTATCCCATGTTACAAGTCAGGTTTGAAGGTTTTATTGTCTAAAAAAATTCTTTCTATTTTTAACTACGTTTTTAGTGATTTGAATTGTAACTTTTTTATAGATGTACTTATTAAAAAACGATTTTGTTTTTAATGAGATTTTGTTCAAACATTGTGATTTAAGCTTTTAAAACCGCTCTAAAAGTTTTTATAAAATCTTTTTTTTTTTATCATTATTTTTATTTTATGATTTACTGCATTATTACTAAAGCATTTTAACCTAAAATTATTTTCTAACAAAAATTCAGACTGTCAAATACTAATCAAAAAAATAATTTTTTTACTAATCAAAAAAATAATTTTTTTACTAATCAAAAAAATAATTTTTTTACTAATCAAAAAAATAATTTTTTTACTAATCAAAAAAATAATTTTTTTACTAATCAAAAAAATAATTTTTTTACTAATCAAAAAAATAATTTTTTTACTAATCAAAAAAATAATTTTTTTACTAATCAAAAAAATAATTTTTTTACTAATCAAAAAAATAATTTTTTTACTAATCAAAAAAATAATTTTTTTACTAATCAAAAAAATAATTTTTTTACTAATCAAAAAAATAATTTTTTTACTAATCAAAAAAATAATTTTTTTACTAATCAAAAAAATAATTTTTTTACTAATCAAAAAAATAATTTTTTTACTAATCAAAAAAATAATTTTTTTACTAATCAAAAAAATAATTTTTTTACTAATCAAAAAAATAATTTTTTTACTAATCAAAAAAATAATTTTTTTACTAATCAAAAAAATAATTTTTTTACTAATCAAAAAAATAATTTTTTTACTAATCAAAAAAATAATTTTTTTACTAATCAAAAAAATAATTTTTTTACTAATCAAAAAAATAATTTTTTTACTAATCAAAAAAATAATTTTTTTACTAATCAAAAAAATAATTTTTTTACTAATCAAAAAAATAACTTTTTTACTAATCAAAAAAATAACTTTTTTACTAATCAAAAAAATAATTTTTTTACTAATCAAAAAAATAATTTTTTTACTAATCAAAAAAATAATTTTTTTACTAATCAAAAAAATAATTTTTTTACTAATCAAAAAAATAATTTTTTTACTAATCAAAAAAATAATTCTTTTACTAATCAAAAAAATATTTGACTATCTGAATTTTTGAATAAAATAATTTAATCATAAACGATATTGTATATAAAATTTTAAGCCAGTGGTTCCCAACCTTTTCTAACCCGTTCCCCAAATTAAATATCCTAAAATCTTCATGGACCCCTTTGATTTTAAAAATTATTACAAGGTGAACATTTTAATAATGTAACTTTTATTCATAAGGATACTATTTTATTTAAGGTATTTTTGAATAGACTAGACACAAAATCAATATTTATCAATGACACAAAAATTTTTTATCTTAGTTTATGTATGATACAAGAACAGATCAGTGTGAATTCTGACACTGCTTACTAGCAATTAATATCTGAAAATTTGGTTTAGTTTTTGATAGAGCACATCTAATATCTGCATCAATATCAAGTCTATTTCTTTTTTTTGTTTTAAGAGATAGCATTGCTGAAAACCCGGCTTCACACAAATATGATGTTGAAAAAGGAATAAGGGCTTTAAGTGCAATTGATGAACACAATGGATATGAATTCCTCATTTTCAACCAGAAGTTATTTAATGGTGCTACTTTGAAGTGATCCTTAGCCGTGGTATCATTCTTTAACTCTATAAACTCTTCTTGTGCTTCCTCTTTCACATTTTTCACATCACAAGAAAATGGTGATATAATAACTTCACTGCTCAAAAGATTCATATCTGGAAAATAGTTACCAAATTCAGTAATCAAATTATCTAGGTGACAAACTATTTCTGTCTTTATAACTTCAGGAAGCATGTTAACTCCAATTATGTTATTTAAATTTTGAAACATGATCAAGTTTCCATTATTAATTCTAGTCTTGTACAGTTTGAGCTTTTCAATAAATGCCTTCAGTTTATCTGAATGTCTAATAACATTAGCATTTTTGCCTTGAAGTTGCAAATTTAACTTGTTAAAATGACCTACGATGTCCACAAGATAAGCAGTTGTTATTTCAAAATTATCAAATTCAAAATATTCTACCAGTCCACTTTTCATTTGACATAAAAATTCTTTCACTTCATTTCTAAGCATGAAAAATCTTTCCAAAAAATTTCCAGCAGATAGCCATCGCACAGAAGTATAAAACAATAACTTATTGTGTTCAGCATTTAGGTCAGAGCAAAATTTTGTAAAAAGGCGAGTGTTAAGAGCAGAAGATTTTATATAATTGACCAACTTGACTAATTGATTAAATACAGTTTTCAAACTACCTGGTAAAGTTTTGGTTGCCAAAGCCTGTCTATGAATAAAACAGTGTACACCAACTACATTTGGAGCAACCTCTTTCACCCTAGTCAGTAATCCAGACTTACAACCCATCATGGCAGGAGCTCCATCAGTAGTAATTCCAAACAAATATTTCCATTGTAATTGATTGTCATTGAAAAACTGTTTTAAAATTTCCATAATATTAGCTGCTTTTGTTGTCGTTTCAAGGCAAGAAGAAAACAAAAATTCTTCTTTAAATTTGTTATTGTGAATATACCTACAATATACAATTAGTTGTGCCATTGAACTTACATCTGTGGACTCATCCAACTGAATAGAAAAATATGGGGATTCTTTAATTTCATTAATAACATTTTCTTTAATGTTTGATGAAATATCCATTAGCCTTCGTTTGACTGTAGTATTTGATAAAGATATATTATCTACCTTCTTTGCAGCTTCTTCTCCAAATAATAATCTAACGATTTCTTTTGTACATGGAAGTATAACTTCTTCAGCCAATGTGTGAGCTTTTTTGTTCTGTGCTATTATATATGAAACCTTATAGGATGCTTCTACTATATTCTGTTGAGTTTGGTAAATAATCCCAGTTTTATCCAATTTGCATCTCTTCAGTGATTCAAATTTTCTTTTGAAAAAATCAGTATCTTTTGTTTGGAGATCAGGATGGCACTTATTCAAGTGAATAGCAAGCTTTGAAGGTTTCATAGAGTCCTTTCCTAGTACTTTATAACAAATAACACACTGTGGGTAGCTAATGGTTTCTTTAAGCATGTAGGTAAATCCATATCTCATGTATTCATCTAAGTATGACCTTTTTTTACTTTTAGACATCTAAAGTATTTAAAAAATAATATAAAAAGCATCTATAGATAAGAGTAGTATAGTATCGAATTTTTATAGAAAATAACACAAATTACGTTCTTTCAAACAAATCAGTAAGGTTATCTTTACCATGAGATAAGATTTTAACATTTTAAATTTACGGATAAAAAATGATATTATATAGCATTTATTACTTCGTAGAGGTCCGCAAGTCCTCGTCGAATTAGTTAACGCAAATTTTGTGTAACAGCTTTCTCGCATAAATTACATTTTTAATTTAAAATTTAATTTGTTTCTTTCAACAGAAAAAAATAATCAAAATTAAGTTTCACTACCAAAAAATATTTAGAATTTACGTTTATCTTGTGGTCCGCTTAAAATGTTCTTATGGACCCCCAGGGGTCCATGGACCACCGGTTGGGAACCACTGTTTTAAGCAGTTTAGTGACGTCCAGGGATAAAAATGTGATGCTCAAGTAAAATGACACTTTTACTCCTCAATAAAATCTAAATATCTAACGATAATAATTTTCACTTTTATTCTTAAAGATTAGGTAATAAATTAGCTAACTGGGTAATAAATGATCACTAGGTAAATGTAGCTATCAAACTTGTAGGGATAAAGCTTCTTTTTATAATAAATTTAATAGCTTTAGAGTTTTTATGACGAAATTTTCCTAATATAAAGTTGAACTGTTCAGTTCAAATTTATATTTAATTTTTTTTTTTCGGACTAACCTCATAAAAATTATTACAGAAGTAAAACAAAGGAACAAAGAAGTACTTGTAACTGCTAAAAACGTCACCAGTACGTATCCAACTATTTCATTAGCTTGTGTACCAATATTGTTTTTTAAATTACGGTATGGTGTTTAGGAAAACAGGATATAAAACAGTCTTTAAATTAAAATTGAATCTAGGCTAACTTGAATATTACTATTATAAAATAAATCCAAACTACCAATGAACAGCAACACAGGTGTCTACATTATTGTATATGTCAATGCAACAAAAATTATATTAGTGAAACAAAAGTGCCAACAACATAAATACAGTAAAACAGAAAATAAAACAGAAGAGTCTATATTAACTCCACACGAGAAACATTGCGCGTTTCAAGTTGACTGGAACTGTTGTAAATCACTAAAAATTGAAATTAAAAAATTTTACATGAAAGTTCATAAAGCACTTAAAGTACAGTATTACCAATGTTCCTCTAAACAAAATGGTATCAATCTAAACGAGTGACATTATATGTCAACGAAATGTGTGTGTGTGTGTGTGTGTGTGTGTGTGTGTGTGTGTGTGCGTGTGAGTTCTTATATTCACTTATTAGTAAAAAGTAAACTACTTATAACAAAAATCTGGAATACACTTACAAAGCTCGTAAGATAAAAACAAAAAAATTAAAAATATTTACATTACATATATTACCTACATTTTTACAAAAATTTTACAAAATAGCGCTTTTTTTAATATGAACAAAAAATAGAATCAAAAAATTGAAAAATTTTTTAATACAAACATCTTGTTTTACTAGTAAAAGTTTGACTAGTAAAACAACATGTTTGTATTAAAATTTTTGTATTAAGGATATAAATAATATAAAAGAGTATAAAAATATAATATATAAATAAATATAATGTATAAAAAAATGATAAAATAATATAAAATAGATTTTACAGCTACTTGTAAAGTCTATATAACATAAAATATATTCCAAGAATTGAGAAGATGCATTTTAGTTTTCTATTAAAAAGATAAAATGTTTTTTAAGTCTTTAATACTATTATTTTGTAAATAATTTCATATTGAAAATTTGACTTTTGAGATTTTATTTTCCTTAAATTTTAACTATAACTGGAACGCAGATTTTACTAAAAACCGATATCAAGAAAAGTTTGATAAGTAACTTCTACTTCATACTTTTACATAAATAATAAAAAAGTAAACTAAGTAACAGACTAAAGAATTTTTTGTGATTATCGAGAAAAGATCACGATTAATACAAGACACCAGTTGTAAAAGATATTTTTATTTTTGTAAGACAAATATGGTTTCTTTATTTTAACTTTTGATTAAACAAAACTTTCAAAAACTTTGTATATTTTTACGTTTTATTTCATTTTTATAAATGAGCTATTTAGGGAGCTTTAATTGAAGAATAATTTCCTCTAAATTTCATAATTTAGAGAAAATTTAATTGCTATGAAACAGAGTTAAAATTTTTAAGTTTAATGTTCATAGTTTCAAGCAATTGCAATAATAAACATTAATTTTATCCCTGAGGAAGCTTGCATATCAAGAGCTCCTGACATTTCTACTACAGTTTTGAGTTACACATTAGCCAAACTAGACAGTTGTTTAGGGTCCGTATAAAATAGAGGCCCGTAATTTAAGCTTAAAAAAAATCTAATGTGACTTTTTATCAACTTTATCAATTTATTTAATTCATTTCATTAAAAAAAAAATACTTTTTTTAAATTATAATATAAAGTTTTATTTGACCAATCACAGTAAACCATCTATCTAAAAAAAAACTTTCCATTAAAAAAATAATAATAATAATAAATAACTTATATTTACTTTTTATTTTCATATGTCTAAACGAGATTCTCAAAGCACCTTTGCTTAAGACCCAAAATTTCTTAATCCATCACTGAGAACTTACCTATGTGAGTTTGAAAAGTAAACTACTGTAGTCAACTGCATCAAAAGATTTGGATAGATCAATAAACACTCCTAATACAGTTTCGTCTCTTTCAAAGAACGTATCTATTTTATAAAAAAGTTCAATAACAGTCTGTTTAGAAAAAAAATTTTAATGTTCAAATTCTTTTTTGTATAGAAGCAGTTTTATTGTATAATAATTATTAACTCTATTACAAATTGCTCTCTTAAATATTTCTGAAAAAACTGGATTATTGCTACCACGTTTTTTGAGAACAGGATTAATTTAACTCTTTTAATGTTTTTAGGGAGTGTACTATTTCTAAAAAAGGATGCTAATAAATAAAATAAAGGTTTGTTAATGCTACATATAACATTATGCTACTTTACTGAAAGTGTCGTCGTATCTACACGATACATAACGTTTTATTTAAGTAAGTGCTTTATTTAATTTAAGTTTAGTTATCTGCTCATTGTTTATACAAGTAGTGAGTTCCTTTCTTAATAATGTATTCAATTTTTTAATTGGATACATAATCTTAAAGATTGAATATATATAAAATATTAAATAAAAGTAAAAATAAGGATTTGATTTGAGAGTTAAGGCAACTTTTATAGTGAAACATTTTTTAAAAAATATATTAGGGAATGCGTTTAAAACAATGTTTCCCTAATATATTTCATTTCCAAAAAGGTTTCAACCACTTCTGTAGCTTATTTAGTTCTAAAGATATACGTGTTTTAATATTTTCAATTCATAGACTTTTTACGAAATATTTTCTTAAAGTATCTCGTTTAATTTTTGGCACGGAAAAAAAAACTTTATAATTTTTTTCTCTTGTGTAAAATTTTTTGCTTTAACCCACTTTTAAAATTTTGTTAGAAATTAAATCGTAAATCAAAACTATTTGCACAATTTATATATAAATTTTTTTTTTAACAGTAGACTGTTTTAAACATTTTTAAAATAACTTATAAAATTTTTTTAAACTTTAACATTTATAAAACGTTAAGAGTAACAAAACTTTGAGGAGAAACATTAATTTAAATTAACTTTTATTTGAACTTTCTTTAATAAATTATGAATTGAAAAATGTGGACTCAAGTAGAACAGGCAGAAAACGTGAAAATACGTACATTATTATTATTATTATAGTTGTCGCCGTAAATTTACATAGAATGTACACATACAGCGAGCAGGGGAAACACCCCACTATAAACAACCAGTTTTATAAATATTTGTTCCAAACTTTTTCCACAACCAGGAGTCTAGTCTATTTTTGAAAGAAAGTACAGTGGAGTACAAAGTTATTTGCTCTGGTAGATTGTTCCAGTATTTTGCAGATCTATTATACAAATGATTATATCTTGGAAGACAGTTTAGAACATACTCACGCCTTATTTTAGAATGGTGACCACGAGACACGGAGTTAATATATTTTGGTAGATATTTATCATTAACTATATCAAAACGATGACAATACAAATACATACAACCAATACAAAATAAGAATAAATCTAAAATTTATCTTTACACAAATAAAAAAAAAAAAGTTAGTTAACGATTTGTTAATAATTTCAGTATTTTCATAGATTCAAAAAGAAATTTATTCGCTTACTCTCGAGAGTAAGCGATTAGTTTGTGGAGTTAATATAGAAACTAAATCTAAACTAATGTTTTTTACAAAACACTCATAAAACTATTTAAATCTAATGCGACTTGCGGTCAAATGCGCATTTTCTAACAACTGTTTTATAATAATTTCAATAAGATTTATTATGCTGATACAAGTTTACTCCTTGATAAGAAATATATTAAAAGCTCATTTTCGTTCACTTGGTCGGCAATTTTTAAAGCCTGTTTACACTGAAAGTTTTTGTTTTTATTAGTGACTGAAATAACTATTTTCTAATTTTTGAGGCCGATTTTCACTGATTTTTTTTATTATTATTACCAGTAAAAATTAATAAACGGGGTGGGAAGGGGTCTTAATATGCTTGGGGTGGGTGGGAAAATTTCTAAAAATTAATAAACATCTCCCCCCCCCCCCATTTTATTAGGGACTCGAGAGTAGGGACTCAGTTGTTTAGACTAATTTATTATTTCTCCTTTAATAATATGAAAGTTTTTCTTTTTTTTTTAATAGGAAATTATAAAATTAAACTCAATTTAATTTTATAATTTTAATTTGTGATTTTAAGATTTTGAACTT